GCTTACAAAATAAAGCTGCCAAGATCAATATATAAGATTGGCAGTTTTAACAGTATACATAAATATAATTTCTAAAAAAAGCAAATTGATCAATGAATGAGTTCAGAGAGCTGGACCACAGGTTAATAAGGTGTCCTGTCAGAATATTGATTGCTTTATGCGTAGCCCCGCCTACTGCTCCACATAATTGCATATTAAACATAAAATATGTCCTGATTGGCTGTTGTTGTGCCACACTGCACTGCATTTTCAATTTCAGTGTGCATCTAGAACACATATACTGTACACTACTATTCAAACTTTGGGGGCAGTAAGATTAATACTTTCATTCAGCAAGGACACATTAAACTGATCAAAATTGACGGTAAAAACGTTATTATGTTAATCAAGTAAATTATTCTCAAGCAATGAAGTACATTTTCATATAATATTAAAAATATGTTTTATTTACATTTATTTTAAGTTATTTTAAATTGTAATAATATTTCACAATATATTTGTATTATATTTTAGTTTTTATTATATTTTTGTATTATATTCATTTGTTATATAAATGAAGCCTTGCTGACTTCTTTCAAAAACATTAATACATTTTAAATCAAAAATACAAATAAAAAAGTTTGCCGTTGGTAAATAAAAAAAGGGAAAAAAATAAAAAGTGTATTAACTACAGTAGATAACCATGAAAAAACTTGTCTGATTTATTTCTTATATATCGTGTCCCCTTTACTTTCTGAGCACCAGTTCAGCAAATCCAAGGACAGAAATCAGGCTTTTTGTCAGCTTTATTTAGTCATATCTTGTTTTGTTTTGTGTTTTTTTTGCCCACCACAGGGCTCCTGCATAGATAGGAGCCGATGTATCTGACTTTTCCCCCCCTGATTATTCATACAGCTTAACACACTATCATAGAAAAACACACAGAGAGCAAAAATAGTTTGCTCTTGAAGTTCTTCATAGAGAAACGTCAGTCAAACGCATCTTCCCTTTCACAGATATGTATTTGCACTAGACATCAGCTGTCAAAGCGTAAGTGACGGCTGTTGCTTCGCTGAAAAGACGGAAAGCGTTCCCATGGCCCCAAAGGTACACCCTTGAACACGCGGGACCTCGGATATTCAGGAGCGCGGCATATGCGCACTTGCGCAGAATCTCCACACTACGTGGTGATTTAATTGAAGCGAGGCTTTTGGATATTAAGACAATGCACTTTAACAAAAGCCCTTCAAGTGCTGCCATAAAGGCTCCTTTGTCTCTGTATGAATTAGCATAAGCTAGAAGATTCTTTCTAAATGCTAAAAAATTAGTAACCTAAAAGCAAATGGTTTGGAGATTCCGGCCCGGCAGCTGAAGTGCTCTCGCAGGTCTTTAGGAGAAAAGCAGTTTTTGTCTACAGCGGAGGTCCTGGAGCAGAGGTCTCCAAGTCATTAATCACGGCCATCTTTTCAACTGCCAGTCCATACAAAAGATGACCCCGACTCCACAATGGGCTTGGCAATAAAGAGGCTGTTTAAGGGGGGCGTTAGATATAGTTTACTGTGGATAATTGCGGGAGGGCAACACATTTATATTACAGTGGTCTTAAAGAGCTTATCTGCTGGGAAATGCTGAGAGTGAGTCGGCCATATTGTCCCACTCATACTGTTGGGGGTTTTTTGCTTTAAGAGGATGTAGAACCAAATTCCATTATGATTAAGCCTTCTATTTTTGATGCGTGGGTTGACTTGTGATTCTTTTATTTATTTATTTATTTGATTTTTTTACCAGCTTAGACAGAGACTGAGGTCAATCTCACAAAGCAATATCAAGGCTCATATTAAACCTCAAAGTTCAAAGAAAAATTTTTTTTTTTGCATAAGATGATTTAGCCTATATACTGATATACAGTATACATATTTTTTACATTACATTACATTCATTTTTCCACATAATTGTCATTACTGTAATGATAATTTATGTTCACATTACACTAATGAAAATCATCCTGTCTAACGTAAAATATTTTTCTAAATGAAAATAAAATGTAAATATTTAATCCAGTTCAGCATTATAGCATTATCCATACTTGTACTTTAATAACTGAATAATATATCATTTTTATTCACATTTTTTCACTACTACATTACTTGCATGACAATTACTGTAATCTGAAAAAACAATTCTGTAGTACATAACCCAGTGTTTTTTTTAAATAATTTAATAGTTTTTATTTATATTAAAACAAGAATTAAATCCAGTACAACAAAATACCTTTGTGAGTACTTACAATTCTATTTAAGAAATTATATTTTGCCATAAGAAAAGTTAGACTTTGTTGAAGCAGTTTTTTTCTCCCTGTGTTTAATGGTTACATTATTTTTATTACTGCTGTGCATCTATAATCGTCATTAATGTTATTTCATTGTCATTACTGTAATGAATGAATTAAAATTAATTATTATCATCAAATATTAAATGAATTTAATACAAATGAAAAATATTTTTTATTAAAATAAAATTGATATATTTGATTCAATTCATCATTATATCATGATCTATACTCATACTATAAATACAACAACTTAACATTGTTAGTGCTTACAGTACTATTTTACAAATATACTTTACAATATAAGCAATATATCATTGTTCTTCATATTTAAAAAAAAAGGTTTTTTTTTTACTTACAAGAAAATAGTCAACAATAATGTTACAATACAGAAAACATGCTTCATTTTGTTTGTTCAAAATATTTGTTCTTTTTATTTTGACATGAAATGTGTCCTAGCTGTGTTCATTATTTCCGTAAGATTATTTTTTAAAATAGTTTATTCTATTTTTAACACCACATTGCACGCTCTATCAGCAGCTGCAGTAAATAAAATGCTGGTCTAAAATGTCTGAAGACTGCGCGGCCTATGGTTTAATCCATTACAGATAGTAAACCTTGTATTGTCAGAAACACTTGATGTGGATCTGAGCCGAAGTCCAGGAAATTAAATGAATCAAGCAGGGCAACCTCACTATCTTAAGTGAGCCTGAGAGAAAACAATGACCTAACTTCTAATCAACTTCATAAATCCACATCGACATGTTTAAGACCTCCTCCGCGATATCCTGTCCGAGGAAAATCATTGATGTCAGGTTGCGTGATCTCACAGTGGCACTGTGCGCCTACAGCAATATATTTATCTCCACGCGGCCCTTTTGTTTTTAACACTATGCTACAAAGTGTCATTTAGTTACAGAGATGCATGCATTATTGCATACAAGCTTGCATTATGAAGGTCTAATGTTTTTCACAATGCTGTTTGCTTTGTAATGAGGATTTTAGGATGAGGCTGGAATATTAATGAGGCAGACGATGATGTAGATTCATTTTCCTTGTGTGTTAAAGGAATGACGGAACAAAAAAACGAAAATGCATTTACCTTCATATCATTTCATTCCCTTGAGAATTTATTTGTTCCATAGAATGCAATAGGAGATATTTTGCAGAATGTCCAAGCTGCTCTTTTCCATACAACACAAATAGGTGGTGATTCTCACTGTTTAGCTACAAAAAAAGACACAGCGAATAAAAAGAGCCTCTGTTGCACTGTATTCCAAGTTTTCTGAAGTCATGCAATAACTTTAAGTAAGGAAAAAAAAATCAGTCATTAAAAAACGTTGGCTTGGAATGTTATTCTTTGATTTAATTTATTTTTTGGGCTTGATAGTGTAAATCACAGACCATTTTTGTTGTATGGATAAGACCAGCTTGAACATTCTGCCAAACATCTGCTGTTGTGCTCCAAGAAAGTCATGCAGGTTTGGAAGAACATGAGGGTGAATAAATAATGACCGGATTGTAATTTTTTGTAACCCTTTTTATCAGAGTCTCAGTTGCTGCTATTTGATACTCTTGCAAGTACTCATAAGGGTGTATTGTTGCATTGGGCGTTGACTCGCTATATAAACCGCAGACCAAACAGAAAGACACCTGCCACTTAAAAATCTGCTGTTAAGTGCAACATTTATCTCAGAGGCATGTTAAAAACAGAGGGAGGGGATTCGAGTCGTAAAGTTTACTGCCACAAGATTTTTTGTGCTGTATTTTATCAAAATGGATCCTGTTTTTCGAGATGCTGCAGTGCTGCACAATGCCACGCCGGCTGGAAGAACTATTTTAAAGGATTGTAAAAACCATATGAACTTCACATGTTAAAGGGGTCATATGATGCTTTTTTAAAGATCATTATTTTGTGTGAAACATGGTTTTTCTGTAAGAGTAGAAAGCTTCTGTTTTAGCTTTTTAGCTCCTTTAGGGTCTTGTCACAAAAAAGACAGCTTCTCTCAGCTGCCTGTCGTGCAGAGTGGCACACTAAAATAGCCAGGTAGTCAAATCCTATAAAGAGATATGATTAAATGTGAATAACAAGTGCTCTTTTGTATTTTTATGTTGCCAATATTTTATTATAATTTTATTAAATTAATTATATTATTTTTAAGAAGATTTCTGATTACACTGCCATTCAAAAGTTTGGGGTCAGTAGGATTGTTTTTAAGAAATTAATACTTGTATTCAGCAAGGTTGCATTAAATTAATCAAAAGTGACAGTAAAAACTTTCTGTTTATCAAAGAATATTGAAAAAAGCACAACTGTTTTCAACATCGATAATAATAATAATAATAATAAGAAATGTTTCTTGAACACCAAATCAGCATATTAGAATGATTTCGGAAGGATCATGTGACATGAAGACTATAAATATTGGCTGCTGAAAATTCAGCTTTGCATCACAGGAATAAATCACATTTTAAAATATATTAACATAGAAAACTTCAAATTGTAATAATAATGCAGCCTTGGTGAGCATAAGAGACTTCTTTCAAAAACTTTAGAAAACTACAGATCCCAGACTTTTGAACAGTAGTGATGATTAAGTTTTAATTGTAGGTTTATCTGTAAAGAACAGATTACAAAAAGCGGTATTCATGCTAGCCAAGTCTTTTTGTCCCCATCTGTGTCTTCTTGCAGAATCATACGGACTGAACTGGCTTCTTTCCCTCCCTTTGATGTTAAGACAAGAGACAAGGTTGCCATGGAAGTGAAAGAACGCAGACCCTACCGCTCCTTGACCTCCAGGCGGGACACGGAGCGCCGGTACACCAGCTCCTCAGCTGACAGCGAGGACGGCAAGCTCAACCCTAAGTCCTACAGCTCTAGCGAGACCCTCAAAGCTTTTGACCAGGACTCCAGATTGACCTATGGCAGCCGAGTCAAAGACGTGGTGCACCATGAAGCCGATGAGTTCAGCAGGCAAGGTGAGTGGTACTAGATTTCACATGTCGGATCTTCTTGGTAAAAAAGTGCATTTTAAAGGGGTCATCGGATGCCAATTTTCCACAAGTTGATATGATTTTTAGGGTCTTAATGAAAAGTCTGTAACATAGTTTGGTTAAAATTTCTCAATGGTAGTGTAAAAAACACCTTTTTTACCCTGTCAAAAACGGCTCTTTTCAGAGCAAGCCGTTTTGTAGCATTTTCCTTTAAATGTTAATGAGCTCTGCTGACCCCGCCCCTCTCTTCCGACCCGCTCTCTGAGGGACTGTTTACTTTAGCCGCATTCATCGTGAAACTTGCTAATTAACACATTACTAGGAAAGGCGATTTGCAAAGATTCATTAAAAAACCGTTATACTCACTTCTGTAGATGAAGCTGGATCACGAATGATTCGCGTGAACATAGAGTTGCTCTCAGCCGCGCTAACTATTATCGCGCTCACTCTCGGGCATAAATCTATAATTTGCCGTTAGCTTCATCTAAAAGGCTTCCTCTCTCTTGTACCTTTGGACTTTACCAGACACAAGTGCACTTTGAATGTGATGTTTACGGAGTTTTTGCACACTCAAGTGGGTTTGAGTGTTTCATTTTGAATCTAAACTTCCCATTAGGCTTTCCAAGTTGATTACATATCGGCTAGTTTCATATATTGCATGTTCTCTGTAATTTGATGTCATATATGAGGTCAGGTGCTCTGTAAAAGATGTTCGGTTGTGATAATAGTAATGAGTATCAAAACCTAATGAGCTGTCTACTTGACAGTGTTTTAAGACGTCATAGTTTCACATTTAGTCCAAAGGCTGTTCTGAATGGTAGGCTACACAGTTAATCCCAAAATATACTTGCTTATGCTTAGATGCTTAGCGTATGTGTACAAGCGAACACATGGCTTTTCAGTTTTTGATAGTGTATGTGCACACAAATGTTGGACACATGCATACTAAAAAGTTTCATCCCTGTCCAGAGTTTGCGCAGTTTCTCTCCAGAAGTTACCGATAAAAATGCCTTTCTAGTTGTGGGTAATCGCTTGTCAATGCAGCATATGTTTGTTGTTGTGTTTCAAATAATTTGTTGTCCTCACCATTTCTTTTTCTTTTTAGAGTGTGAAACAGTGTTGCTACCTTGTGGACCAACTTCCACACAAAAAAAATAAATAAAGAAATAAAACAGAAATAGGTGACGAGTTTTACATCACACGCACCTCAAAACACTAAAAATGTATATTTTCATTTTTAAGCTGCCCTTATATGATACTGTAAATGTTACATTAGTGAAATTTCTGCAAAATATCAGAGGCAAAAAAGGGACATTGTATATTTGTACTGCAGCTCACACAGAAGTCACTTTCAAACCAAGCAGTTTTCTGTTGGTCAAAAAAATAAATAATAATTTAGTGCCGAATAATTTAAATAAATAAATAAATAAATATATATATATAGAGAGAGAGAGAGAGAGAGAGAAAACAAAAATAAAACTTTTCACTAAGATATTTGATCCATAGTTTTGTGTGAGTAGATGCTAGCATCAGAGTGCAGTAGTCAAGTTCTGGAAGTAAAAATCACATAAATATATTCCATATACAGGTGCATCTCAATAAATTAGAATGTCGTGGAAAAGTTCATTTATTTCAGTAAT